TGTTTTCAAAACACGACACTATGCTTCTACGTATACGCCAGTAAGTGCACATTTGTGCTGCTATAGCCGTAATGTCTAAAAACGACAGTTTCATTTTGGACGGCTATAGCAGTCATGCCACATTGTGAACTTCACTTTGACGGCTATAGCCGCAATTGTCCGTCAACGTGTTAAAAGCATATTTATTTACTTTACCACAGAAACGTTTGCAGATAACTTAAACACCAGAAGGACATTTTCGAAACAGATCATATCAAATTAGACTAACTATAAAAAAATTCAAATAAAATGCGAAATCAAATATACAATATGTTTAAGGTATTTTTAATGCATTTTTTCCACTATTTTCAATATAACATATTTGATAATTCCAATGCAATATAGTTTACTATGTAATTTGCATGATTGTATTAGATAGAATAAAAAAAACAATGATTTTACCACACAACATAATTGCTTCAATAATTTAGTCTATAATTTTCATAATTTCGTACGATATATTAGTTGCTTTTTGACAATTATAATTTCTAAAGTATATTTTTATTACTAATAATTCAATAAACATTATTGTTTAAGTTCAAATCTTAGGTGAATTAATTTATAAAATCTAGTTCATACGAGCACTCTTCAATCTAAGACCAACTTGCTAAATATTCCATATCCAATGCCAAACAAATAAATGTTTGATACATGAAACAAAATTCTAAATCATTTTTTTTTAATAAGTAGAAATATTTTTTTGTGTTGTTAAATAATTTAGTAAAGTAAACAAAAATGCGACATGTATAAGTTTAAAAAAAATAATGTATATGCAATTTTGGACTTATTGCATTATTTACTAAACTTAATTATATAATTTCATCTGCCAACGTATACTGTTGACTGTATCTTATATTATTTCAATTTCTGGCACATCTCAGCTGCTTTTCGGCAATAATAATGTAAATTCAATTTTAATATTATCTAGGCTCATAATTTCAGCTAAATTCAAATTTCAAGTGAATTGGCATTTCTAGCATGTGTCAGTTCAAATGTTTTCAATGTCAAACTATGATAAGTGGTTTTTTGTAATTTTTGCCATTTATTTCTACAATATTACTATTGTTTTATAGTTCATTAAATTTTTTAAAAATCCTTTGACAAACTCTAAAAAGAATTATCAAAATCCGAATAACCGTTTAGGAGAAGTATCGAATCATACACCCGTATAAAAGAATTATATATATATATATATATATATATATATATATATATAAATGTATAACTTCGCAATGTCAATTTTTACATTAACATTTCAAGGGAATATGTGCTATAGGCAAGCACATAAAATGCTTACCCATAAAATTAAATTTGTAACTTACATGTATTAAATCTAATTTCAGTCATTTAATCGCTGTTTTATTAATATTTTGTTCTTGAACTGCAATAAGCTTTCAGATTATGATTTATTGTAGATTTATATTTTAGCATTGGTCGAAAAATTATAATGGACCGATTCTGCCGCATAACAGACCAATGTTATGGCAAGGCTATGTTATGAAGAACTTGCTATACTAAATATTGACAAAAGCCATGTAGTTGGTGTGCAGTCAGGCGTATTTCTCAGGTTGTTAGATAGAATACCTAACCTAAAAGCCGCACAAATGTCAAAAAAACTATCTAAGATAACACGGTCTTTCTGACCCAGCTTCATAACATACAAGTGACGTTGCAGTTTATGTGTAAAACGCCTAAATGCACAGCAAATACATGACATTTTGAGAGTATTCAGTATGATTCAGTAGCATAATGTAATTTTATACTGCACAATATGCAAATCTAATGAATAGTAATTGATTTTCGTTAATTACACAACTTTTTTGGTAAAATTGATATAAGTCTTGACTAAAAATTATTGACATTTGTCCCGTGTTTACATAGTTGCTGAAGAAGTATTACTTTTGGTATAAGATTATCAAATTTGATTAAAAAATTCTAATAAGTTTGTTCAAAAATTTCGAAGTTTGGTCTAAAATTGTTGATTTTGGTCGATGATTGTAAATTTTGGAAGAGAATTCTCTATTTTGTGACTAAAATTGTTAATTTTGATTAAGAATTGTTAATTTTGGTTAATAATTGTCTATTTTAGTAGAAAATTGTGGTCTAAATTTGTCTATTTTTGTCGAGAATAGTTAGATTTGGTTGGGAACTGTATATTTCAGTTTATAATAGTAAATTTGGGTCTAGAGTTGTCCAATTTGGTCGAAACCTGTTAATTTTAGTCAAGAATTGATAATTTGAGTTGGAAATTGATAACTTTAGTCGATAGCTATCAATTTTTCTATATTTGTTGATTTTGGTCTAATGTATGGAAGTTGGGGCGTAACATGACCTTGCCATAACATTTTTCTGTTATGCGGCAGAATCGGTCCCTAAAACGCATTAATAAAATAATAGTTATTGGATAGTTGTCAAAGACTTGCAATCAAACTGATAGCGTTGAACGAATTATCACAAATCGGGTAATTTTAATTAAAGCACATCATTTCGAACAAATTTCAAATATAATCTCACATTACCACTTCCATTTATGCCTGGATGGTGTGTATAATTAATTACACGTTAAAAACAAACATTCTATGTGCGTTAACGACGTGGCGGTTAATGACTAACAATAACGACATAATAAAATTCCTAAAATTTCAGACCAATATTGCACAAGTCGTTAGATTAACAACTCTATAAAAAGGAACTTGTGAAATATTCAACGACATCTGGAGCAATTACCGAGCCCACCATCAGTGATAACATTAGGTCGTTCTTTATGAGGAACGAAATGGATCGATCCAATATGCTAACCTGGATATGAAGAACACTTAATCAATCAATTATTTTTAGATTATCACGATGATCACAATAATATCTAAACATTTGACAATGATCATCTCTTTTATATTATTTTACTTCCCGTAGGATAAGTTATAGTAATAGCAAAAAATCGAAAATGAATTTTTTTTTACATGTTTACGCTTTGGCATACCTCAGAAAAAAATGGATGTATGTGAGTGTGTATGTGCGGATACAAATTTTGATCGACGATTTCGAGAACTCGAATTTAAATATTTCCAAAAGCATTCGATTCGTATTAATGGGGAGACGTGCTGATTAGTAGTGTAGCCGGTAGGAAGATACAGGGCAAAAAGTGCCATAACTGGTAACCATCTGGTAACTCAGTTTTTGAGATAACGGAGCACCCGATTTGAATGATTCAAAAAACATTTTATTTGTATTTCCGAAATAAAAAACTGATTAAAGTTTTGGAATATTTCTATGGGTTCTGTACCGATATAAATTATGAAAATGTAAAAAAATTATTTTTTCAAAAACTTGAACATTCTTAAAATATAATTTTTCCAAAGATTTCAATTTTTTTTTTAAGATTTTTAAATAAAGTTAATTTTCCGCATAAAAAGTTTTAGCAATTTTCTTTGACTAGTTGAATTTTCTTTTAAAAAATTAAATTTTCAAAAGATTGTAATATTTTTTAATATCCATAATTTTTGAAATTTTAAAAAATATATTGCATATTTTAAGAAATTAAATTTTTAAAAAATGTCGAAAATTTTATTATAACAATAGAATATTTGAATATTTTTTACATTTATTTAAATGTTTTTGTTAAAAAAAGTAAAGGTTGTGAATTTTTTTTAATATACATCAGTTTGTATTGGACATTTTTAAAAATCTATTGAATATTTTAAAACAATTTTTTTTAATAGAAGTGTGCAAAATTCTATTATAGCAATAGGATATTAAACTTGAATATTTGATTCATTTTGTTAAAATGTTTCAAAAAAATTAATATTTTTTTTTTATTATACATCATTTTTCAAATTCAAAAAAATATATTGAATATTTTAAAGAACTGAACCTTTAAATAGAATTATGCAAAATTCAAATGTAACAATAGAATATTTAATCTTGAATATTTTTTACTTTTGTCAAATGTTTTTTTTAATAAATTTCCAAAAAATGTAATATTTTTTTAATAACCATTTCGAAAATTTAAAAAAAATACATTGAGTATTGTAAAGAACTAAATTTTTAAATAGAATTGTGCAAAATATATTGTAACAATAGGATATTCAACTTGATTTTTTTCCATGTTTTTTTAAAATAAAATAAAATTTTCAAAGTTTTTTAATATTTCTTCTAATATACATCATTTTTATATCTTAAAAAATAAATATTTTAAGAAATTAAATTTTTAAATTGAATCGTGCAAAATTCTATTGTAACAATAGAATATTTTAATATTGAATATTTCTTTCATGTTTTAAAATGAAATATTAAAATTTTTAAAATGTTTTAAAAGAAAATTAAAATTATATAAATATTTGCTTTAATATCATTTTTTTAAATTTAAAAAAATACACTGAATACTTCAACTCTTCCCACTCGGGAATAAAATTTTTAATTAGAATTGTGCAAAACTCTAACGAAAGAATAATTTAATTTTAAATATTTTCCATTTTTAAATGTTTTTTTTTTAAATAAAAAGTATATATATTTTTTTAATATACATAATTGTTTAAATTTTTAAAAAATCATTGAATATTTAAAAAAAAATCATATAGAATTATGCAAAATTCTATTGTGACAATAGAATATTTAAACTTGAATATTTCTTTCATTTATTTAAATTTTTTTTAATATAAATCTAAATTTCCAACAATTTATAATATTTCTTTTAAGAAAATTATATATATATATATATATATATATATATATATATATATCATATAAAATTTTAAATTTTCTGCCAAGATAATAATTATTTCAAAATCATTGTTTATAAAATTGTTTCATAACAATGCTATGCACCATTTGGTCAAACTTATACAGTTATATGCTGAATTCGCATAATTTTAAGAAAAAACAATAAACAATATAATATATGTGATAGTTGGCAAATGAATTATATCAAAATGATCGATTCAATATAAGTCAATTATACTTACATTATTCTGCAACGAGTCCCTCTCGGGGGTGGTCGTCCCCGACTCCTGTCGCATGCGCGCCCTCTCGACCCGCGCCAACGTTGGGGAGTCCAGAATCGAAGGTGCCCTCGAGGACATTACTTGTTCGACACCTTGCACTAACATATCTTAATCCAAACGACTCGACAGAAATCGATTCGGGAGATGATGGTGATTCACTTAAATTGTCACTTCACAAGCACAGTCGGTTAATCATGGTGAAATTCGAAAGTAAAAACTCGGATTAAACTTCTAACATTATTTTACAATGAACATTACGAGCAATTATTTGATGAGAAATAAGCACGTTGCGTAAAATAGATAGCACGACGAAACGACCACTCGCCTCGACAGCAGAATTCGAACTGATTTCGAATAACGTGCTTCTGACAGAGCACGCTCCTGGTGAGCGCATGCGCCAACTCTTTCCACGGTTTCTCAAAGTATAAAACAAATATTCTCAAACTATTCAAACTACATATTGCTTGAAAATACATATATATTTCGGTATTTGAAATTAAAGGTTTATAATTTAACATTATAAACATTGTAAACTATTGATATATTAACTATTGGTGCATGGAATCGTGCCTTAAGACAAAGTACTGAATCATCGCGTACCAAAAATTAAAATTAAAAAAAAAGCTTTTGAAGGAAATTAGATTTTTGAGGAATTTTGAAAAAAATACTTTTTTGAAAAAAAACTCCTTTAAAACTAGGGTGTAAATCAGTACAAATGCAACGGAAGTGCGTTACGGCAGAGCCGAGTGCCAATGATTCGGCATTCGCTCTCGATGATATCATTTCTATACGGGTCGATTGTGATTAGTCGTCGCGTATGTGAATAGAGATCTGTCGTTGTATGTGTACCGGCATCAACGTTGTATGAGTACCAGCATCAACGTTGTATGCGTACCGATGTCAACAAGAAAATCAGCATAGATAAATAAGCGTATTAAAGTTACATCGTAGTACAAATGTTGATTTAATGAAAAATGCCTGAATCAGAAGAATATTTTACCATGTTCCTTGAAAATAATAAAACAAATTAAACATTTGTACTAAACGTAAGATTATTGATTAGAAATTATTTCTATATTATTCGTAGTTTCTATAAAACTTTGAAGTTATTGAGATGAAAAATATTTTCTAGGCAAGACAGATATTACAACTGCTCAAAGAATGAGATTATATCGCCAACGAAAAAGTAAAAAAAAACACAAGCAGTCAATGAATGTATGTTAATTTTAATTACATGAAGTTCTTCAAACACAATTACATGATGAGTGAAGTTGCAAAAACAATATTTATTTAGGCGTTGTTTAACATAATCCACTGTGTGAACGAATATTAAATAATTTATTAATCAGAAATTACTTCATTTCTTTAATGAAGGTTTATTTCTAAATGCTAATTACAATGAAAAACCGAACATGTCATATTTGAAGTATGACTTTAATTATTGTTTTTAAATGTAATACATATTTTAATGCTATTATAAATATATAATTTATAATTACACATTATATAAATGTGTATAATGGTTACCACTAATAAATGTGTGCATCACGAGTGCTACCATATTGCTAATAAACATTATTTAAAATTGTTATATGATGTATTTATTTAACTAAAAATTGTCATCTTCAGTGGACTCTAGTTTGAAAGAACAGATAGAAATTATTAATAATTTCTATCAGACAGAAATATTTAATAATTAATAATTTCTATCTGTTCTTTCAAACTAGAGTCCACTGAAGATGACACAAAACAATGTGTCGAAACGTATGGAAAAAATAAAAATGTTTTAAAGTTCATATAAAAATTTTTAATTGATGTATTGCCCTGAAAACTGAATATCATATATATATATATATATATATATATATATATATATATATATTTCATTCAATATTTTGCAATCAACTTATTCAAAATTAGCAATCAAGGTTATTGACTTTATTACACAAAAAAATAATCAGAAAAGAATATAAAGAAAAAAAATGAAAAAATTAAATAAATAAAAATTACAAATAAAAATGAATAACTAATGAAGAAAAATAAATAAGTAGATAATAATAGTAGAGAGAACGAATAATTGAGAGTTTAAAAATCAAATTGCCCGAAGATTTCAACCTGCACAAGTACCTGCCAAACGAGCCGACAGGTTCACTTTTATGAGCAAGATGTATCAAAATAAACTTAGTCCTATAAAATTTGTATATGCGTTCGTCAAAGTAATTAGGTGCAATGCCAGACTATTCTATCCCGACTAAATCCTCACCAGGCGAGAGCCCATAGAATATGTACAAAAGTTTTTAGCCTTACAGAAACACTGTTATTTAAAAGGTTCACTAGCTCTTTGCCTATAAAATATGTAAAAAGTTAGATTTCATGTTTAAACCGCCTGATTGCACAGCAAATACATAGCTTTTTGACAGTTTTTAGTACCATTTTACCATTTTATGATTTTAAACATTTTGCATGATGTTTAGCACTGCTATTCTTTATGACTATCACTGGAAAAGGGATGATGAGGTGACAAATAAATATATAATAGTAATATAGTAAAATAAAAGAGAAATTAACTAAGTAAAAAATAAATAATACAAAAGAGATAGAAAACAGGTAAAATTAATACATTAAAATAGTAGTAGTAATAATAATAATAATAAATAATAGTTATAAAATTAATAATAATAAGTATAATAAAGTAATAGAAAACTGTTCCATTGACCACCTAGCTAATTAATTAAATAAATAAGTAAAATTAATATAAATCATTTGAAAATATTCTCTCCGGTCTTCTTGAAGTAGTGATAGTCTTGAAATGGCTTGATTTTTTTAAAGAAAAATCGCCAGTCCTTATAATATTACATTATATATATACAAGGTCCGCCATCTAACGTTTCATTTCAACTAGTGCTTATTTTGTGAATGGTAACACTTAGCTCATGTCCGAAAAGAAAAAGAGGAAAGAAAGTATTGTACTTTCGAAAAAAATTGACAAAATATTCAGTAGCTTTTTGAAGCATTTTCAAAAAAAAAGTTATTTGGCGGACCCTTTATAATAATGCATTGTCCTAGGGCAAGAACGTACGCTAATATAAGTTAAACTTCAACTCGATTCAGTAAAGAATAGTGTGAGAAGTTTTCCATTGCCATTTAACACCGCAGTAGGATATTTTCAATTGGAAACATATTTTTGATCTATATTTTCAAGTAAAAATTGATATCACTACTGATCTGGTTATCCAACAGGTTTAGAAACATTATTCCGTTGTCTAACCTATTTTTTTAAAGGAAAATACTTTTCTCGGCGATTTTAATTTGTTAAACAATAATATTTTTCAATATTTTATTTACATAAGTACAATACAAAAATAGACAACACTACACTACATACAGTATTATAAAAATTAAAGTGATTTTGCTTATCTTTCTTGTAACTATAAAAAATTTCCAAAAAACAACTATATTTTTGTAGAAAATATCGTAGAAAATATATTGTCAATTAATTACTATCTTATGATAGGTAATACGTTTAAACCACAATCTGTGGTATGAGCCATAAATTTTAACCATAATTTTTCTAGCTCCAAAGAGCTTGTCAAGCTTTAAAAATTTACACTTAAGTTAATTAAGAATGTGAAACAAGCAAAAACATTTAAATCTAAAATAAACATTATTTAGAATCAACATAAACAAAATTCAACAACATCAACATAAACTAAATAACATATAATTCACAAGACGACTAATATATATACTAAAACACTTACTTTATAAAAATAATCGCTTATGAGCGAACTGATCACAGATTTCTATAAACCCATTTGGGACAACTCATTTAACTGTCGCCAATTTTAAATCAAATCAGCAACATTCATTGGCATTTCATTGATATGTGTGTTGTAGAACTGCTCGATGTCTTGCAGGGTACGCTTATCCTCATCTGTGACAAAATTTATGGCAACACCCTTACGACCAAAACGTCCACCTCGGCCAATCCTGTGGATATAGTTCTCCCTGTTGGAAGGCAAATCATAATTGATAACGAGAGACACTTGCTGAACATCAATTCCTCGAGCCAACAGATCTGTTGTAATCAGTACACGTGAACTGCCTGTACGGAACTGTCGCATGATAACATCACGTTCTTTTTGCTCCATGTCGCCATGCAGGGCAGAAACTGTGAAATCGCGGTGGTGCATGCTTTCAGTCAGCCAATCCACCTTACGACGAGTATTACAGAATATGACGGCTTGTGTGATAGAAAGGGTGTCGTACAGGTCACAAAGGGTTTCTAATTTCCAGTCTTCCTTCTCAACCAGAACAAAGAATTGTTTAATCCCTTCGAGTGTTAATTCCTCTTTCTTCACTAAAATCCGAACTGGATGTCTCATAAAGCATTTACTGACTTCCAATACATCAGTGGGCATTGTAGCCGAAAGAAGAATAACTTGGACATCCACACTGAGCATTTTAAATACATCATAAATTTGGTCTTTAAATCCCCTTGACAACATCTCATCAGCTTCGTCCAGCACAAAGAGTTTGATCGTATTTGTGCGAAGAGCACGCCTACTGATCATGTCATAAACACGTCCTGGTGTTCCAACCACTACATGTACCCCTTTCTCCAACTTGCGCATATCATCCCTTACATTAGTTCCTCCAATGCAAGCATGGCATTGGGCTTGCATGAAATCTCCCAAGGCAATTACAACTTTTTGGATTTGTTGTGCTAACTCTCTTGTAGGCGCCAAAATTAATGCCTGGCAGTCATTAACATTCGTCTTGATCTGCTGCAAGATAGCGATGCTGAATGTTGCAGTTTTGCCCGTACCAGATTGTGCTTGGGCGATAACATCATGGCCGACTATGCATGGCCTGATGGCACGCTGTTGAATAGCTGAGGGTTTTTCGAATCCGTAAGCATAGATTCCACGAAGTAATTCATCTTTTAGGTTCATATCGTCGAAATTATCGACGACATCATCCCAATTACTTTCGATGAGGCCTTCGGGTTCCATGCCAGCAGGGCCATCATAACCATGTGCTCCTTTTTCGGTGGATGGGCCATTTTTGGGGTCTTTCCAGTCCCCATTACTTCTTCCAGGCGCATAGGCCATGTTCTTTTGTTTGCTAAACGGAAAAAATAATAGGATAATTATCTTTATAATTAGAATAAATATTTTTTTTATTCACTACTACATTTACAACTGTCTAGTTAAGAACAAATTATATTAAAGATATTACAATTAGATAAAACATATTGCAAATTGTTCACCGAGCCAAACCGACATTCCACATATCGATAAGACAAAACATCAATTGAAACCGTAT